AACTAATCTTGCTTGATAACTGTTTCAGATACACACACCTATAAATCAGTGTTATAATGCCTCCTAGGTGAAATTCACAGCAATTCAACAGAGTAACCATCCACACTGGAAAATTAGAATGGATGAAACATGCACATTGACCACAAAAGCATATGCCCAAGATACAGCACGTCAGTACAGACATGATTCTCCCAGAGAACGGTTCCCAGGCCAGGCAAAGAGGCTTAGGAAATAACTATTTTTACCTACCATAAGAGGTAGGTATTTTTACCTACTAACAAAAGTGGCAGAGGACTGGGGAACTTACTTCCAGCAAGCATGGAGGGCAAGTAGTACTTATTAGTGACTTGCAGAGGGTGTATTTGCCTTTTTCCCATGGCCAAGTAACTACTGAAAAAATATAAGGTAAAGGGGAGAGAGTATCCACTTTCCAGGTTATCTGAGAGAGGAAATGGGGGGGGTGGACTTCAAGGTAAAAACAATGGAGAAAAAAGGTCTGAAGCAATAGAAGGGTATTAGTCTTCTCTATACCAAGAAGGTAAAAGGTGGAAGAAAATGTTGAAGAGGAGGAGGGAAAGAAGCACTAACAAATACTTGGTCCCGAGTAATAGGCTGGAAGTTCTTTCTATAAAGTAGATGGCCCAGAATGGATGCATGTGTGTGTATGTATATGTATATATGCATGTATGTATGTAAAGAGGCATGCCCAATGGTAGCATTGGCATGGAAAGGGGTTATAATCTGTACCTCTGAAGTGAATGCACAGACCCTTCTAAATATATATTGCTCCCTACTCATTTGAGTTGGACTCTCATCAAAGTGGACTCTCTCTTCAGTGGGAGAGGCTCACAACCTGTCCCCATCTTCCTTTCCCATGGGATGCTTGTCTGGGTCCTCTCCTAAATCCTCCATAACAGATCTATCCAAAGTACTAGATGCCTTTGTCTTGGGCTTCTGAAATTCCAGAGGTACCACTTCAGCCCTCAGACTGCATCTGTAAGTCAGTGCTCTCTCTACATCACTATCCCATCTTCTTTGATGCAATATGTTGCATATAAGTCATCGCCGGTAACAGACTACCACCTGCTTAACACCCAACATGCATCTCTCCACTGCCCTTTGAGTCACCTGCAGTTTTGGTTCTTTAAAGATCGTGAGACTCCATGAATCAGAACCATCAAACATTCCCAGGAGAACACTGCAGATGATGGATTAGAGGGTGGGCTATTTTTTAATCAAGTGAGCATTACAAGCACCGTGCCAGCTCCCAGACACAAGCCAACCTACTCCCTTCATCTTAATTCAGTTCTGGACCCAGAGAGCACTTGTCCTTCTAAGTGTATAAATCATCAAAATATTTTACTCATCATTGACACAGACAGGATATGTTCAATGGCAGAAAGCATCAGCAATTGGAAGGAAAGGGACCATCTCATTTTCAGTTTTGATGAAAATTCTTGTTTTCCTTGAAAGCCAACATGTTTTGCAATTTAATTCTTTTCAGATTCTAGGAGAGTAGAGTCCAGGCTAATTTGTAACAGTGATTCAGATACTGAAAGTAAGTTGCCACAGGCAGCATCCACATTTACTTCTCACAAGTCTACTGAATTACTGTGGCCAAGACATTTTTCCCAACTTAAAATGTATTCATTCAACTGGAGTATAATAAAATAGAACAAGGGGGCAGTGACCCTTGGTCAGGTGTAACTGTCATTGTCCCCAGCAGGCCATCCAGCTGCAGTGAAATGTAAGCCTGCGGTTTTGGAATATTAGACAGCAAGTAAATAGGAATTCCCTGATGGCAGTGGTGATCTGAAAAATACATGCGCTAAACCAGAGGAGCAGCATCGAAGAAAAGCCAGCTTCCTAGGGAAGGTGAATCATATCAAGGCTCACTTCCTTTGGGTCTCTTATTTTCCTTCAGGGACTTCTCTTAGTGTGGTACTCTTAACCTGGAATCAAAGGTTTCTCTGGGGAATGTCATCTTAAATTTAAAAGTGAAACAGGAACTTGTCAAAAACCAAAAATTTACCCAAGCGCATACATGCATGGACATGTCTAGTGGCAGCCAGACACACATTATGCCAGTCTGGAGATCTTGAGGTCTGCTCTGCCTAAATTTAAAGACCATGCTAGCCCTCAAGTGGCAGTGTTCTTGGAAAGCAGGTAAAATGTCAAGTTAGATGGCTTGGGATGAAAAAGATGCATTTTCCAAAATGAATTCTTAGAAGGTACTTTTGGTGCTCAAAAGACTTGATACAAAATAGAATTCTATATTTTAAAAGACTGTATACCTCAGATGACAGGAGAAGTTTCATGTCTATCCCCAGCACCTAACAAAGTGCCTGGCAGATAGCAAGTGCTTAATAAATACTTAGTGATTGACTAATTGGTTGTAATGGGATTAGAGAATTTTGAGCTGAAAGGAACCACAGAGGTCACCGTAGTTCATCCTTTTCATTTTTCAGATGAGGCAACTGATACCTAGAGACATTAATACATATTTATTGGCTGATTGATCACCCAAGGCCAAAAACATTCCAGATGGGCCAGATTATAGGTGGTAGAGGCAAGCCTCAATCTCAGGTCCTTGGACTCCCAATCTGATGCTACTTCTGCTGCACCAGGCTAGGAGAACTTTCCCTTGTGAGAGACAATGACCAAGGCAGTCTAATTAATTCATCCTTGGACCGTGGTTTTCAAACTACTTATCTCCAATAAGAGTTAATGGTCTCTAAGGTTCCAAATGGTTTTTTTTAGTTCTACATGAAGACCATAACACACATAGGCATGAGCACAATAACAATAAGAAAAAAAAGATAAGGGGAAAAAGCTTGTACCCCGGGCAGTCAAGTTTTCTTTACTGAGATGAGGATTTGAAAGGAGAAGCATGAAACCTGTCCTTCCTAAATATACTCTCCTCTTGTCAATAAACACAAGGATGGCAGAATCTGCCACCATCCCCTCCCCCTGCCCAAATCACACTCTCATTATTTGACGTAACTGTTGCTCTTGACTAGCCTTCATACCAGGAACAAGTCCGAGATTATATTAAAAATGTAATAAAAAATGTTTGATAGTTTCAGGCAGCGGAGGTTTGAAAGGAGTCAGCCTGACTGCTGATTTCTACTGACGTGCTCAAATACTACACTCCCCAACTATCTGGGAATTTTTCATTTTAGAACAGGTTTGGGTTGTGCTAAGGACAACCCACAGCCTTCTGAGATAAGGAATGAAAAGAAAAAATAGAGAAACTCAGGATAGAGGAATGATTTCTAAATGAAAATTTATCACTTCAGTTGTTCCACATAAGTCAAACTTGAATCCAAAATGAGTGATGGTGATTTTGTCCAAGATTAGCTAAAGAAAAGCATCTTTATGCTGTCTGACCAAGTTCACAATTCCATAACAAAGCACAAAAGCTTAAAAAAAATTAGGAACACTATTTTATAGATTTTTTTTCTATTACACTAATAAAGTGCCCAGGAAATTTAATAAAATCATACTCAGTCTACATAATATTAATTAAAAACAGTGTCAAGTGGGATCTGAACCAAGGTCCTTAGACTCCAGAGGGAAGGTACTTTCTGTACCCCACTACATGTTCGGCACATAGAAATGGCCTCACTGTCTTTTAAGGCCGGTATTCAATTTCCCATTCCTTTCCTTGAAGCTTCTGAAGTCTGTGATATCCCTAATGTCCTACTATGACATGCCTCATATCAAATCTGAGAGGTGACTGAGATTTCAAAGTCCTACCAATATCGTTCAAGTGCTTGGGATACACTCCCTCCTCACTTCAGCCTTGTGGGGACCCATATCTCCCTTCGAGGCTCAGCTCAAGCTCCATCTCCACCCTGATCCACACCACCAGCTATCAGCTCTGCCGCACAAATCTACTCTGTATCTACCTGGTCTATAGTTTGTATTCGTGCTTCTGTGTTTGGGTTGTTCCCTTTTGGAAGGCATGGATTGTTTCATTTTTGTCTCTATTCCCATGGCACAGTGCAGCCTCTGGCACTAGGTGAGTGGATTAATGAATGGAAAACCCTGCCAAACTAAAAGTGATATCAGTCACAGGCATGTCAATGGACTGTACCATCCAAGGACCCATTCATAAAGGATGGGGAAGGTCTTCATCAGAAGACTGACCAACCAGTGGGGATGTTTTTTTAAACTCATGAAACCATCGAATTACAGATCTGGAGCTGGAAGGGACTTTGTGAGTATTCTAATCCAGCATTTCTTAAACTGATCCACAGTTTAAGAAAAGCTGAAGGGGTCGAGAGTGGAAAAAGTTTAAGAAGGCCTGTTCTAATCCACCCCTCATTTTAGAGCTAAAGAAGATAAATTCTAGGGAGGCTAAGTCATTGCTCTAGGCCATGTAGGGAGTCAATTCAGAGGTAGAATTTGAACCCAGTTCTTCACTGTGCTTTTTCCATTGCATCAATTAACAAGCATTTATTAAGTGCCTTCTCTTGGCATTGTTCTAGCTAGGTGGCACAGTGGATAGAGTGTCACACTTGGAATTAGGAAGACTCATCTTCATGAGCTCAAATGTGGCCTTAGGCACTTACTAGCTGTGTGACCCTGGGCAAGTCACTTCTCCCTGTTTGTCTCAGTTTCCTTGTCTGTAAAATAAGCTGGAGAAGGAAATGTCAAACCTCTCCAGTATCTCTGCCAAGAAAATCCTAAATGAAGAGTGGGACATGACTGAAAGTACTTGAACAGCTGGGCACTGTGCTAGGCCATAAAGAGATAAAAGTTGAAGATGGAGAGACACGTGAAGGTTTTGAGTGGTTATGATCCATATGAGCATAAAAAAAAATTCCAGATCTAAGTATCTTCAACATAAAACATGCACATGTGTGTGCGTGTGTTGGAAACCAACCTTGTCCTCCCATTTCCATCTCCAAGTTCAGCCTTTTGTCATCACTAGCAACAGCTTTCTCAGGCAGAAATGAGAACTCACTCAACTCGTCCATCTCATAGGCTCTTACCTTTTGTTCCACTTTCAGAAACTGGGCCAGCTCCTCCACAGTTAAGTGGTCCTTCTTGTCACTGTAGTTCAAAAGCAGCAAGTAGAGGTCCCGTCTCAGCGACATCATTTTGTAAAACACACAGAACTCTTCAAACGTCAGAGTCCCCTGATTCTCATCAGTGTCGGCTTCCTGAAAGGCAGAAGGGAAACAGACCCACGAGGAGGCATGATTGCCTTGACAGACTGAGGCTGGGACTGAGCCAAAACACATCACAGAGAGCATGCTGAGCCTGGGAGCAAAGGTTGAAAAGACCCCTCTGTTTCACCAGCTTCTAAAGGAAAGAAACATGATCAACAAACAGATTTGAAATGGAAGGGGGTGGAAATGGGGAGGAAGTTGCTGAGTCCTTTATTAGCAGCCTATGATTGGGGGATCTTAATGCTAACTCCACACAAAGAAGGTTGGAGTCCTCTTTGTTCACAGTGATTTGTGGAAAACCACATAAACTCATTTGGTGAGGAGGTCATGATCTTCTCTGGGTCTCTCATTTTTCAAACAGAAAAATTTATAATGAAATTAGCAGTAGTTTTGTATGTCAGACAAAAAATAACAGAGCCTTCACCCACTATATGGATGAGTCATTGTCCTCTTTAAGAGAGCCAGGGAAGAATTTATGACCAAGCAAGAGATAGAGAACGTTATGAAATGCAAAATGTATCATTTCAATTCCATTAAATTAAAGTTTTTACACAAACAAAACCAATGCAACCAAGATTAGAAGGGAAGCAGAACACTGGGAAACAATTTTTACAGCCAAATCTATAAGAATACAAGTCATTCCCCGATTGACAAACGCTCAAAAGATATGAACAGGCAGTTTTCAGATGAAGAAATTAAAGCTACCTCTAGTCATATGAAAAAAATTCTCTAAATCATCATTGATTAGAGAAATGCAAATTAAAACAATTCTGAGGTACCACACCACACCTATCAGATTGGCTAACATGACAAAATAGGAAAATGATAAACGTGGGAGAAAATGGGGGAAAATTGGAATGCTAATGCATTGTTGGTGGAGTTGTAAACTGATCCAACTATTCTGGAGAACAATTTGGAACTATGCCCAAAGGGCTATAAAAAAAACTGTGCATACTCTTTGATCCAGCAATACCATAAAAGGTCTGTATCCCAAAGAGATCATAAAAAGGCGAAAGGACCCACATGTACAAAAATATTTATAGCAGCTATTTTTATGGTGACTAAGAATTGGAAATGGAGGGAATGCCCATCCATTGGGAAATGGCTGAACAAGTTGTAGGATATGAATGTAATGGAATACTATTGGTCCATAAGAAATGGTGAGCTGGCAGACTTCAGAAAAACCTGGAAAGACTTGTATGAACTGATGGTGAGTGACGTGAGCAGAACCAGGAGGACACTGTACACGGCGCAGTTCCGTGACCGACTTTGTTAGACTGGGCTCTTCTGAGCAATGCAGTGAACTAAGGCAAGTCCTAAAGGCTCCTGATGAAAACGCTGCCCCCGCCCAGAGAGAGCCGCGGAGTCTCAGTGCAGATCGGAGTAGACTGTTTTCTTTTTTTTGCTGTCTTTTGTTTTCTTTTTCTCACGGTTTCCATTTTGTTCCAACTCTTATTTCACAACATGACCAATGTGGAACTATGTTAAATATGATCATACATGAATAGCCTGTATCAGAATGCACGCCACCTTGGGGAGGGTGGAGTGAGGGGGGGAATTTAGAATTCAAAATCTTATAAAAGTAATGTTGAAAACTAAAAATAAATTAATTAACCATTTTTTTAAAAGAGAGACCTTTCTGTGTTCTGGCCTGAGTGACCTACTGTCCAGGCTATGAAGAATACAAGGCGAACAGGGCTTTGTTCCAAGGTGTGGCCATCTGAAGGGGAGGCAAGCTTCCTCCCAAAGACAACCTCCATCTCCACATCTAGCCATCCTTTGCTGACCCATAATGCCACAGGGCACAACTGCCTGGGTTCCCATCACCATAGCGACCTCCTTTCCCAGTGCCTACCTTAATCAGCTAGGCAGTGTAGTAAATAGAGTATTGGATTTGGAGCCTACAAGACTCAAATCCTGATACTTACTAGCTGTGTGACCCTGGGGAAGTCTCTTTATCTTCCTGTGCCTCAGTTTCTTCATCTATAAAAGGATTGGGCTCAGTGGCTTCCCATGTCTCTTCCATCTCTAAATCTATAATTCTCTGGTCTCCCAATCCCTGTAGAACACAGACTGGACTCTCTGGGGGCAGACTACCCTTTCTCCCAGAACAACAATAGCTTCAGGTGGATTGCCCTATGCATCCTTCCCACCCACCTCCCTGGTCTGAATTTGAACCAGGCACAACGCTTCATTCTCCTTCCCACTGTACAGAGTTGAATCAGAGCACACAGTAAATAGTTTTTAAGAATGTGGATTTGGGAAATGTTCTCAGCTGAAATATGGAATTAAACATGGAATTGCTAAAAGTGTTTGGGCTTTAAAAAAAGAAATAAAGGTTTGCTTATCACACAATAAAAAAAAATAAACCCTTTGAGGAAGACTTCCTTCTCCATGAAGTCTCTATATGAGGCTAGTTATTAATACCAACAACTGTTATTTTTTTGTCCAAAAGCCTGTAAAAGAATTTGATTCATGGGTACCCTTGATAAATGGAAGGAAGAAATTCTGCAAATCCTGGAAATTGGGTCTACTGGTTATGTTTCTACTAAGGCTTTTTTCCCCCCAAATATGAGCTTGCATGTGAAGACCATATACAAGCAAGGGCGCACAAATGCAGCCAGAATACAGGACAGCCTATCTCTTGTTGATTAAGACTGTACCAGGCCAAGAGGCTCTATTACTTTCTTGACTGATTAGACATTTGAAAACCTTCAGGTCTGAGTGAAATCTTGTCTAAAAGTGAAATGAATGAACATGGAAAGTAGTGGCCTCTTTAAGTATTTGAAAGGCTGTCATTTGGAAGAGGCTTAGATTTATTCTGCTTGGCCTTGGAGGGCAGTGCTAGTAGCCATGAGTGGATGATACAGAGAGGCAGATTTAGGATGGAAGGCCTTCTTAGCTCCTAGAGCTGGTAGGAAATAGGATGTGCAGCCAAGGCAAAGTGACAGGTTTCCTGTCATAGTCAAGGTTTGATGGGCACCTCTCAAGTATGCTGTGACTGGGATTCTCATTCAGGTATAGGTTGAGCTAGACAGCATCTGCGATTCCTGCAACTCAGATTCTATGACTCAAGTAGCAACATCTTATTATGTCAGAATAAAAATGCGCATTTTAGAATGAGACATGGCCACTGTATTAATTTCCCTTTCATGGATTGCCAATTAAAAAAAAATAAAAGTCATTATGTGACAGGGTGATATTGCTGGAGAGGAAGAGGAAAAGGTATTCAGGTTTCTCCAACAAAGTAAATCTCTCTGCTATTATTTGTTGTGGTGGTGGAGGGAGGGGAGAGGGAAAAACTCTATATCTGTGATTTCATCAGTGAGGGAAATTCCTAGTATGGGGATGCCCTCCAGAAATGCAGATAGGCTACTCCTCTGTAATTTAGAATCTTAGAAAATCTCTTGTGGCACCAAGAGGTTAAATGATTTCTCTAAAGCCACACAGCCAACATATGTCATAGACAGGACTTGAACCCAGATCCTTCCTGAGTGCAACTTACCTGCCATCATCTCCATGGATACACTGACATGGGCCTTTCGTAGAATTCTCCACCAACTCCCTTTCGCCTTGGTCTTTATGGACGCAGCTTACCTGAAACATCTGCCGGACTTTTCTCCGAGGCAGGTTCACATTGAGTTTATGCATCAGTTGGTGGATTTCTTCAATGTTCAGTAAGCCATCCCCATTCTTGTCAGCCTCCTCAAAGGTCTGTTTCACCCATGTGAGGCACAAAGGTCAAGGAAATATTCCTCCAAACTTCCCAAAGAGAAAGAGAAGCCCGGACAGTCTTTGAATCACCTTTGCTCTGCCTACAGCAACCCAATTCACACTCAGCAACTTTGCCAACCACACTCATGTTATTACTTATGACATCTACAGCAGTCAGCTGGTGAAGAGTCATGCACTTCATTTTTTCAACTGCCCTTGGAGCTAAAGAACCCAGGCCCCCAGCTCCTAGCCTCAAGCACCCTCTCTCTGTGCTTTCACCTTGCTCCAAGCTCCCCTCCTCTCTGGCTCCTTCCTCAGGCACAACTGCCCACCCAGTGGTCTCTCCAGCACCAGAGCTTCAGGCATAACTTCTCCCTAAGGTTCCTTATAGTCTCACACTCCATTTCTCACATGGAAGCCTGCCTCCCAAGGATCTCATAAATAAACGATAAATTAATTAAATAAAAAATGTTATTGTTTACTTGTTTCAGTCATATCTGACTCTTCATGACCCCATTTAGAGTTTACTTATCAAAGATACTGGAGTGGTTTGCTATTTCCTTCTCCAGCTCATTTGATAGATGTGAAAACTGAGGCAAACAGGGTTAAGCTCAGGGTCACACAGCTAGGAAGTGTCTGAGGTCATATTTGAACTCATGTCCTCCTTATTCCAGGCCTGGCATTCTACCCACTGTGCCACCTAGCTGCCCCAAATTAAATATATGATAAATGAATTAAATGCGAATAATAAATACATGATAAATGAATTAAACTAAGTTGATGAGACTATCTTTTAAATGTATTTAAACATGTTTTATATGTTTAGAGTTCAGGGACATGACTTACAAGTCTTAGTTTATTGTGGCATTTGCAGTCATTTCAATATCTTTTGAAGTTAGGATTAGGCTCTTGGTCAGGAATACAGCCCTTTTTGAATAACATTAGGATTCTAAATCAAGAGCAGGAAAGGACTGAGGAGGCCAAGAACTATGGTCAGTTTCCCCTCTCCTCCAAGCTACAGATTTTCTGGACCTGACTGTTTTCTCTTCTCTTGCTATAGTGAAAAGATTCCTGGATTTGAATGTCAACCCTGCTATTTACTACCAGTATGACTCTGGGCAATTCACTTACTAATTTCTGGGCCTCAGTTTCCTCACCTATTCTAGCTCTAAATCCCATGATACTATGATCTCTAAACATAAAGATTTGGTTTAAACACACACACACACACACACACACACACACACACACACACACAATTCTTCCCTCTAGCAATATCATACACATTAGAAGAATCAATTGCAAGTCAAGTATTCTGACATCTTAAAGCTGTTCTTCATGATTAAGGACGACATGGACCTTTCCAAGGAAGCACCGAGTAAATTATTCATATTTAATATGCCCAGAAAATCAAAAAAGGAAGATTCTTCTGGTTACATGAAATGGAGAATGGTTAAGATGAATAAAGAACAGATAGATTTTCTAGCCAGAAACTGGGAAGCAATGTTTAAAACACAGTGGGAGTGTAAGATATCAAAGGAGTCTGTAATTTAACACAGTATGGAACATAATTCAACTAACATTTATCAAGTGCTTACTATATGCCAGGCATGATTCTGGGTGCTAACAATACAAAACCGAAAAATATCAACATAGTTACTGGCCACTGGGGTCTCAGAGCCCAGTCAGGAAAAAGAAAAGCTCAAAAAAAAAATCTCTGGAAAAAAATGATAAGGGAGAGTGATAATAGCTTGCACATTTACGTAGTTTTTGTTGTTGTTCAGTTGCTTTCAGTTGTGTCCAACTCTTCATGACCCTATTTGGGATTTTCTTGGCGAAGATACTGGAAAAATTTGTCATTTCCTTCTCCAGCTCATTTTACAGATGAGAAAACTGATGCAGAATGAAGTGACTTGCCCAGGGTCACATAACTAACATCCAAGGCCAGATTTGAACTCATGAAGATAAATCTTCCTGACTCCAGGCCCTGTACTCTATCCACTGTACCACCTAGCTATCCCATTTATGTAGTGCTTTTTAACTATTATCTCACTTTATCGTCATAACAACCCTGAGAAGTAGGTGCTAGTATTATCATCATCCCCATTTTAGAGATGAAGAAACTGAGGTAGATAGAGGTTAAGCAATTTGCCTAGGGTCACACAACTAGTAAATACCTAAGACTGAATTTGAACTCTAGTCTTCCTGACTCCAGGCTCAGTACTTTATGCACTCTGGCACCACCTAGCTGTCACTGGGGAAAATAACTTTCACCTGGGTTCAAGAAAAAAACACTTCATGGAACAGGTAGCCTCTGAGGTAGAACTTGGAGGGGTGAAGGATTTCAATAAGTAGAAAGATTGGGGGGAGTGCACTCCAAGAGTAAGGGACAGTCCACATGACTGACACAAGCAATAAACAGGCTGACATCAGGGGATGATTAGTAGTCAAATTAGTTGGAACATAGATTATTTTAAAGGGAGTAGAGTGAAATAAGGTTGAGAAAGTAGGTGGGAGACAGAGTGTAGAGAACTTTGAATGCCAGACCAAGGAATTTATTCCTATTATCCATTTTTTTTAGCAAAGGATATAGTGTCATTTTTATTGGTCCAATATGTCTATGTTTACATGGAGGCACCATATTGCATTTTAAACTAAAGAGATTTTTTTTTACCATGTAAGATTTATTATCTTCTATGTTCAACATCTATTCACCATTGAAATTCTTAATCTTAAGTGAAATCCATAAATAGTGAAAGAACCTATATTCTCTTCAGTTAATGTAATTATCTGTGTGTCCAATTAGGGATTTCATACAGTCATGACGGCCTATGCTAAATTCTGCAGATCTATGTGTATCAGAAGGATTCCCTTTTTACCAGACCATGACTTCAGCTGATGTTTGCTTTCCCTGCCCACTTTATTTGAACTAATTCCTTTACCTATCTCCTCTCTCCTCTGATAGCACAGGCAACTATCAAATTTCTAGTGAGATTGTCTCCTGGTGACTACTGGGGCTGTGGTCTCTTTCTAGCTGGTGCTTTTTTCAGAGTTATTTTATGCTGCAGCTCCTAACCTGCCAACCTTGTTAATACAAACATGACAAGCTGTCAGTCCCCAGAAGAGAGACACAAACAAATATGAGCAGCTTCTAAAAACTGTCCGTGAATGTAATAAACGGAGGTATGTGTGATGTGTAGCTACTTCAAGGATAGTGAGTCAACGTGTCAGGAAATGCCCTGGTATCTTGGGATGTCATCCTCCCTAGCCATCCAAGGTGAGGAAACATTTCCCTGAAATAAAATTTCAAAGTTGCAGGAGGTAAGAGGCGAAAGCAAAAACAAAAACAAAACAACCTATAATGCATGGGCCGAATCCTGGAAGAAGTGCAAGGGATCTTCCCCAGAAAAGATGCCATTTTAACTGCTGCTTGGGGGGGGGGGGCAGCTGACTTCTAAGGAGGCAGGGAAGCATTTGTTGCTACATTTCAAAGCAACCAACTGGCAGGTATTAAGTACCCCCAAAGTGTGTCTTCTGGGAGAATATAATCTCCTTCAGGTCAGGGACTGTTTCGTTTCTCCTGCTGTATGCTTGGCGTAGTGTCTTATACTGAGCAGGTCTAATTTAGATAATACTATAAAGCGCTATGCAAACCTTTACCAATCAAATGAATGTTAGCAATTGTTATTGTTGCTCATGAGTATCTAAGTCTAAGATGGTTACAAAAAAGATACAAAGTAGATATATGTATATATGTATGCCTGCACAGACTTCTGCTTGTGAGAGTGTGTTCACTGCACCCGAGCCCAGCTGAATATCCTAAAAATGCTTCTTCGTTCAAATGGATCAATACAAATCCATCACATTTCCTACCAACAAGCATCTCGAAACACAGGGCAGGATTTTTTAGCTACTCTGTATCATTATTTTTTAATCCCCAAAAGAAGGGAGCCTTTCAAACCCTGCAAGTAGATCAAGTGGGTCACAGACCTGCAGAACCACAAGAATCCTCTCCATTAAGGACATGGATACAAGCTGAGCTTTTCCAGTGGAGCAAGGGAGTCTCATTAACGACAGACTCACATTTACTTGGTGCTTTGGAGCTTACAAGGCAATTTTCTCACAAGAATCTTGTGAGCTGGGAAGTCAACACACTAGATGATGAAACCGAGGCCCGCTGACTTGCCCATGGTCAAGGAGCTAGGAAGTGTCAGAGGCAGGATTCCCACCCAGATCTCCTGACAAAAGTCCAGGGCTTTTGCTACTACTCTGAGTAGCCTCATCACTAAGTCCAACCTTATATATCTATCAGCAACAGAAGGTGGGCCTTAGATTTGAGCAGACTCAGGTTTGAAGCTGGCCTCCATAATTTAACTGTGCAATCACAGGCACGTCATTAAACCTTCTGGGTTCAGTTTGCTTACCTACAAAATGAGGACTAGTCCTGAGGTTCCTTCCAGCTCTAGAATCCTACAATCTCAGCCACTTGCTACATGTGAGCAATGGAGCAAATTGCTTCACTTCCCCGGACCTCAGTTTCCTCATCTGTAAAATGAGGAGGTTGTGCTAAATGAGCTCTAAGGACACAGCTCTAGATCCAAGGTGCTATGGAAGAGGCCTTGAAAATCTTAAAATCACTTCTGAATAACTCGTATTGTTATCATGATCATTATAACAACCCGCAACAATCTGACTTCCTCTGGACTGTTACTCTGCTCAGGGTCCATTCCACAGCCAAGGAAAGAGACTCTGGTCCAAGAAAGCGGGGGAAAAAGATTTTCTGTAGATCAGTGCACTGCTTTATGGGAGACGACTGAAAGCTTCTTCTGAAGACAAAAACATCTACGAGAGGTTCCTCGCTCTTGGCCAAGAGGGCGGCATGGAAGGAGGGTGAGCTAAACTCCGGCTTCCCTGAAAACAACAGTTATGGGTGATAGAAGAAGCTTGTGTCAGAGCCCAGGCAGTCTGAAACCTCCACAGCTTCTATGCTGATGGTGCCAAGGGCTGAGGGGGACATAGAGGCATGACAACGGAGAGAGGGAAGGCCCAACTTTGAGCTTCAAATCTAAGAAAACAAAGTAACAGAGGCACATTAGAACCAAAGTTTTAAGGATGGGCATGGGGCCTAGACCTGTAATTTCATTGCTATGGAAAGACCAAGGTGAGAAAATCTCTTTTACCAAAGAAGCTTGGAATTCACATTTATTTATTTATAATATTTATTTTATTATAATTATCTATTATGTAGTTATATATTAAACTATGTAAATATGTTTATTATAATGTATAATCATGTTTTATATATAATTTATTTAATTTATATTTTATTATTATTATTATTATGTAAAGTGGATATTCCTGTCATTTTACATGGTTTCTTACTGAGATTTTATATATAAATTATAAAATATTTCCCCCTCCCCCTAAAAAAATCAATTAAAAAAAAAAAGGTTGGTCCCTGCTCTATAACAGTCTTGGAGAGTTGCCTAGAATTTGGCTAGAACCAGAGGAAATACTTAATAAAATAAAGACATAGTACAACATAGATAATGTTAACTTCTGGTTTTCTGCAGGGATCCCTTTCTATTTGAGATCCACAGCAGTGGCCTAGGAGCTGAGATCTCAGCAAAGGATATTGGTCGTGAGTTCTCCTTCGTTTGGCAAGAGAGTCCTCGTCACTGATTCCAGCCATCAGGTACTTCAAGCCAGTGATCCAGGTCCTCGCCTCCTCGGGGTTGGAGGTGATGAGATCCAGGGACTCCATGTGGTTTCCATGGTAGATGGTGAAACAGCAGCTTGGGTCAAAGTTCCCCTCAGCCTGTCGGTGGAAGATCTCGGATTGCCGGCCCTCAGTGACTTTGTAAATCGAATCGATAATTACTGTGAAGGAAAGGGAATTCAGAGACAAAGAGCTAGTGAGGATACACGTGGAGATCAAGGAACATGGGAAGGGCCACTGTATCTGGGCCAGAGCCAGACGGGAGCAAATAAAATGCCAGCACTGCCCTGTCCTCAGAGAGGCCTCCCAGGAAAAGCAGCATCCCTGAGAGAGGCAGGAGAACACTCCTTGTAAACCACATGAGGCCCCACCACCACCAGGGGAAATTGGGTTAGTAAAAAGGCGATTGGGAAATACCATAAGCATACTACATGGAATAGATGCTGCACCTGTGGTTTCACTGGTTCCACCAGACCTCCCTCCACCAATGCAGGGCAGCATCTTCTCTGCAGCTTACAGTCTTAGGGTTAAGGGAGGCCCTGAGAAAGTGAGTGACTTGCACACAGCAAGTAAGGTCAGAAAAAGGACCTGAACCCAGGTCTTCCTAAATTTTTTTTTAATGTAAAACCTTCCCATTTTGGTCATTTTTGTACAAAAAGATTCGAATGAAAGAAAAAAGGTGAACAATAGCATGCTTCAGTCAGTCTTCAGTCAATATCAGTTCTTTCTCTAGAGGCAGATAGCATGCTTCCTCATGAGTCCTTTGGGATTGTTGTGGATCGTCGTATTGCTGAGAAGAGCTAAAGTCACTCACAATTCGTCATCGAACAGCCTTGCTGTTACATGACTCTCTCTAATTTCAAGGCCACTTCTCTATCCACAACCTCAGGCTGTTACAGCAAACATAATAGCCACCTGCAGGAGATTCAGAGGGGGAGGAAGGAATCAAACCAAGAGGAGGTGCTGGCCTTCTACAGTTTGCCCCTCCAACTGCGGGAGAGCTCATTCACCCAGCATGAATTTACGGAGCTCCTTCTGTGTGCTAGACCGGCGCTGAGGCTCAGTCATTGCTTTCAAAGAGCTTCTAATACGGTTTCTCCAACTAAGACTGTTACAAGGACAAGTGCATGGACTGTGGAGTCAGAGAAGCTGGCTGGAAGCCAGCAGGTGACACCGACTATCTGTGTGAATGCGTCTGGGCCTCAGTTTCCTCATCTCTAAATGAGGGAGTTGGGCTCCATAATTTCTGAGGTTCCTTCCATGACACCCAGAGAATTCCTCCCAGGAGCAACAGGCCACCATTGCTTGGGAGCATTAAATGGTTCCTTCACACAGCAGGAGTGCAATAAACGTCTGTTGAATTCATGCTTGCAGCAAAAACACGATCCGATCAATTATTCCCCCAGTTTATAAGTGATCAGAATTAAACTCAACGGGCTCACAAAAGGCAGAAGTGTGGTAAGCACACAAATTCTCTCACACCCTTATACATTTGACCTTTGGTCATTATGGGAGCAGAGATTTAGAAGTGGAAGTGACATCAGAGCCCACTGAGTCAAAGCCCTTCATGTTACAGATGGGGAAACTGAGACTCAGAGAGGTAAGGTGACTTGTCCAGCATCACCCATCTAGTAAATGTCGGAGGCAGGGGAGCATAGATTGGGATCTTCCCCATCAAAACTCATCTATGATTTGGTAGATAAGTCCAAGGGAGCTGCCTAAGGCTCTAAGAAGTTAAGTTAGGGGCTGCCCAGAGTCATACTAGAACTGAGAAATGGTAGAGGTAGGATCTGAACCCAGGACTTTCTACTGACCCTGCACATGATCTACTACGCATCTTGCCTCAACTCAGAAGACTAGAGCTAACTGAAAAACTGAGGAGGGCCGTTTAAGACTCAGCTTTCAGAAAGAGTTTCTCCATGAAAATCTGAGGTATATAGAAGCACAGGTAGTAATTTAGGAGTAATTTTCTCAATGAAATATTGTATTTGGACCAGTTCTTAATTGATAGTTTCTCAGGGGTTCTCACCCTTTTTAGGGGGTCACAGACCCCTCTGTCAGCCTCCGTAAGCCTATGACCTCTTCTCAGAGAATGTTTTGTTATCCACATTCATAAGTGAAGAAAGTACTAAATTTCAGTTGGAAGTCAGTAAGGACAAAGACGTATTTTTTCCCAATCTAAGTTCACAGACTTCCTGAAATGTATCCACAGATCCTTTGGGAGACTGTAGATACCAGGTTAAGAACCCCTGCTCTCTATTAATCAAAGCCCTAGGGCCTTTTAGGTGATCACTGTGGTATTGCAGAAACTAGAAAAGGGCAAACTATAAAACAAAAAGCCTGATTGTGGACTTTTCTGTCAGTCTGGAAAGTAATTTGAGGTATGAGCTAAAAACAAAATAAAACAAAACAAACAGACAAAAACCACAGCCCCAACAACATTATTTCTCTTTCATTAAACCCTGTGGCATCATTCAGCAAATTTCCAATTTCACATTCTGTTTTTCAGCTGAACCAATTGGGTTGGGGTGCACATATTTCTCCTAATTTCTCCCCCCATACACTTATTACTGTTCTTTCTTCTTATTACCAGCCTACATGTCCCAGGGGCAAAGGGGGCAATCAAATACCTATTATTTTCCACCGGTCAATTTTTTCCATAAATCCAAAGGCCACATATGATGCATCTTAACATCAAAAATGTTTGCTGGATAACAACAACAAAAGAAAACTAAAGAAATCCACACTTCAGGAATTCCTGCAATGTTTATGGGGAATTTTTAAAAATCAACCTCTTGTCTGCCAAGGGCAGTGACCAATTCTTTGTGCCCACTCCCTTCAGTAAGATCGGAAGTTGGGACAAATATCATCTCACATGATCTCTTTATCCTACAGAGTCTCGACCTGGGGATCTGTGGACTTGGGTTTTTTGCTATATTTTGATAAATGTATTTCCAACACAATTGGTTTCCTGAGCAATCCTGGGTATTTTATTTTATGTCTTTAAAACCCTGAGAATCAGTAGGCTTTACTAGACTGCCAAAGAGCTCCATGGCACCAAAAAAGCTTAGGAATCACTAATGTGTTGCTCTCCCCAGGCAGAAAGTGAACCCACAAGGTCAACCTTACTTTTTGCCTTCTCGCTTTTCCGGGAGGGCCGCCATCGCAGCCGCGTGCGGTGCTCATCCAGGTAAAAGAGCCGTACCAGGCCTTTGCTTCCACTCTTCAGTTTGATCATCTGGGTCCCAGACTGCATTACACTCATGCATCTTTCAACTGTAAAGGAGATGAGCATATGTTTAACCCCTGCTCAACAAAGGCATGTGACGCCTACTAGACATCTCAAGGTCAGACAAAATGTCAGATTGGCAACCAAAGGCTCCAAGAAGTGAAAGACAACTGGTTCAGGCACACAACAGCTAGTAGGAATCTTGATGTCACCACACACTGGACTGGCAACCAAAGACAACTGGGAACTGTGGAAACTGCGCTGCTAAAGGAAATGTGTCATCTGGCACCCAGTCAGGTCATGCAAGCTAACTCAAGCTTTAAGGAAAGTAAACCCATCACGACGATGCTTTCCCAAAGCTCTCCTTTGTTCTAAGTAACAACATCATGCTTTCTGTTAGGAGACTCATGTTGACTTGCATTTGTCATTTCGATTTATATTCATCACAAAGAAGCTCTGCCAAAGTTTTCTTAATTTTAAAACAGCAAGCTTCAAAAGGTGTCTTATTTTAATGCTTCTAAAATTTCGTTTCACAGCCATGATTGAAAGTCTTACAAATTAAAATAGAACATTGGTTGCTAGATCAAACTAAGCTTGAATTTTTTTTTCTTCTGTGGAAGTTGTTTATTACTCAAAAAACCAGTAATACCAAAGTCAAAGTTATTTAATGTCACAGAACAGTCTCTGTTTTGAGATGGATCATGCAAAGGCATGTTTAAGATGGCCTTCCATTTACACCATATACATCTTGAATATATATATAGTGATATGAATATTAGAATGTAAGTCCCTTGGGGGAAGGGAGTTTTTTGTCTTTCTTTTGTAATTCTAATGATTAGCACAGTAACTGGCACATAGGAATTGATTAATAAATGCTTGCTGACTGTGTGAGTTTCTAAAATTAATAAGACTTCTAAAAATACTTTGTTTTGAATCACAGAGAATAAACCATTTTTAAATTAACAATTTTAATTTGCAGTGTTTGCGCGTGGAATTGAAAAGAATAAGGCATATTGGATAGGAGACTGGACTAGAAATGAAATGACCTATTACCTAATTTGGTTGGTTTGTTTGTTTTTTCAGTTTTGAATTCTCTCCCTCCTACCTTTCCCTCCCCCCATTGAGCACTCAAGAAATATGATACCCATTATACACATGAAATCACACAAACCATATTTCCACATTGGGAAGGTCTAGACTTAACTCGATTGGATAGGGCTTGGTGCAAATGAGACCAAGGTCATAGGGCAGATTTCTCTACAGGTCAGCCATCAGCTTAGATTGCCTTTGTACCCTTGATTAGAAGAAGCATCGGGAGAGAGAAAGTGTACAGGAACTATAGAATGTTAGAGCTTGGAAGGGTCTTTGAGATCATCTATCTCCTTATCACACAAAGGAGTATGCATAGATTAGAACTAATCCATCACTATATCCTCATCTCTTAACACAGTGCCCAGCACATAGTAGGTGCTTAATAAATGTTTATTGATTGACTCTTAAAAATTAATTCATAGTTTCCACTAGGCAACCCAGGAAGCAAGCATGGTTATTGAGCATTTACCATTCAATTCAACAAGCATTTTATTGAATGCTACTATGTGCCTAAAACTATACTGGCAGCTGGGGCTGCAAATACAAAAATAAAATACTCCCTGCTCTCAAAGAGCTTACATTCTACTAGAGACAATGGTCTACCATGTGCAAGGTCCTCTGAAAGATAGTGAGAGATGTACAAAGAAATAGAAGACAAGAGTTTCTACTCTCAAGGATGCTAGTACTGTGCTAAGGACTGAATATTAAATATTAGATTTAGGGGTGGAAAGAACCCAAGAGATCACTTATAGTTCAACCCCTACACATACCAATGTGTTAAATACAGAAAAATGAGGCCTTAGGAAGTCAAGGGACTTGCCCAGGGTGACCCAGGTAGTAAGTAGGAGGGCCAGGATTTGAACCAACATCCTCCAATTCAAGGCAGCTGATGGCACAGTAATAGAGTCCTCGAACTGGCATCAGGAAGATCTGAGTTCAAATTTATCCTCAGATACTCACTAGCTGTGTGACATTGGGCAAGTCACTTTACATTCTTCAGCCTCAGTTTCCTTACATATAAAATGGGGATAGTAAAAGCACCTACTTTGCAGGGTTGCTGTGAGGATCAAATGAAATGATATTTGTAAAAAAAAAAACCACTTAGCACAATTCCTGGCACACAGTAGGCACTACATAAATGTGTGTTCCCTTCTCTTCTTTTTCCTTCCCTCAAATTACAAGTTCAGTGTTTTTTTTTCCCACTACAGCCATGTTTCCTCTGTTTGGGCAGGAATGGTCAAAGATGGCTTCATGTTGGGAAGTAAACTTGAACTTGGCCCAAGGAATAAGCTTTTAGATAAGTGGAGAAGAATGGGAAGGGTATTCTAGGGGAAAGGTAACAGCACGAGCAAGGGAATGTGGTTGGAAAAGAACATGTCATGCTTTATGTTTAATAAATGCTTATTGAATTAGCTTAAGTAGAGCTGAGGGCTGGTGAAGAGGAGTCATGGGAAATAAGGCTGGACAAGTAAAGTAAAAGTCAGACTATAGAGGGTCTTGATTATCAGGGTGAGAAGCTTGACCTTCAGCCTGCAGGCAATGGGGAGCCATAGGAGGGTTCAGAGCAGGGGAGTGACATGATGAAAGCAATACTTTAGGAAGAATAATGGGGTCCTCCAGAAGAGCCCAGCTGGGATGCATCATACTGCAGGGGTGAACCTAGATTCTAGAAAGCTGTGTCAGCAATACATAAGTCTTACCAAGCAGTCACTAAGCATTTATTCAGTGCTTGTTCTGTGTCAGACACTGGGCTAAGGGCTAGATATACAAAGAGAGGCCCCAAAGACACGCACACAGTTCCTGCCCTCCAGGAGCATACATTGTGACAAGGAGGACAACATGTCAAGTACATATGAGATATATGCAGTACAGAGGGAAGGCAATCTAAAAGGGGATGGCACTAGTGGCCAGGGGGATCAGGAAAGATTTCCTACAGACGGAAGAAATAAAGGTGGAAAGACCTGAAGTTTCAGCAACAGACTGGACACACGCTGTCCAAGGGTAAGCCTACATTAGGAAAGGTTGGCCACCAGATGACAAACTTTCTTGACCATAAGAACCCAAGAGAAGCTAGAGAGTATTACGGGAAGAGGCTCAGACATGGAGTCAGGAGGGACCCAGGATCATATTCTGACTCCAATAATGACTACCTGTGTAACCATGGGCAGAACAGGAAACTTCATTTTCCTCATCTGGAAAATAGGGACAATATCAATAATGTCTGCTTTACTGAGTTATAATGAACCTCATATAAAATAACATAGCACTTTAGGGTTCACAAAGTCCTATGATAAGGTATCTCATTTTATCTTTATAGCAACCCCAAGTGTTACTATTATCAGCTAATATCATTATTTACAAGTTTAAAAACTGAGGTAGAAACAAGTTTAGTGATTTGCTCAGGGTCACACAGCTAGTAAGAATCTGAGACAAGATTCAGCCCCAGGTCCTCCTGAATCCAAGGTCACTGCTGTTACCCCCTGAATCATACATGCAAAGTGCTTTGTGAATGTTCAAACACTAAATAAATGTCAGTAATTTGTTATTACCTGCTAAGGCATGCAGGGATAACTGTTGGCATCGGTGGAGATAGTACCCATAGAGATGAAATGAGAACTAACCAGAGGATTACAGAAGTATACTGGCAATGATGCCTAGGTTAGATAAGCCAGAAGGAGGTACAAAGTGATGAGGGCTTGGACTCAGGTGGAAAAGTAAGCATAACCTATCAGGAAATCAACAAACATTTATAAAGTTCCATGTGCCAGGCACTGTGCTGGCGGCTGGCATGCAAAGATGAACAGTCTTTGCCCCCAAGCAAGTCTACAATCTATCAAGGAGATGATGTACACATATATGCATTTATATACATATTCACATATAAACATATATATGTATGTTATTTACTATATCAATGCAAAGTAATCACCAAGATATATGTACATTGTATTTCTACACACAGAATCTGGTTTCCCTTTTCTTTCAACCCTTCTACTAGAATGTAAGCTCCCTGAGGACAGGGACTATTTTGTTTTTGTCCTTGTATTCTCAATACCTTCAGGCCACGGTGCCTCTTTTTTTTTTTTTTAAATCCAGGACTGTGATTTCATCACTATAAGAAACTCTCAATGAAGAAATACTTTATAGCAATGCACATCAAGAAATCTGCAACATGTAGCCTTAGAGAGGGGCCTGGGAGTGCAGAGGAGCTGTCCAGGGTCCTGCAGTTAGTGTATGTCCAAGGCAGAGCGTGAAGCCAGGTGTTCCAGACTCCGAAGCCAGCTTTCTATCAGCTATGCCCTGCTGCCTTCCCCTCTGCACAGACTAGGAGTGGAATAAATGCTAGGTGAGTTTCCATTGCTTTTCCCCATATAAATCCTTACAACTGGTACCTCAACATTTTGTACAGGAAGACCTCAGAAAAAAATGTAACAGAAGTGACATTTCTTGAGAACTAACTAGGCAGAGAGGGAAACTAGGTGTCGTCATAGTGCACAGAGCACCAAGCCTGGAGGCAGGAAGATTCATCTTCCCAAGTTCAAATCTGGCCTCAGACACTTACTAGCTGTGTGATCCTGGGCAAGTCACTGAACTCTGTTGGCCTCAGTTTCCTCATCCGTAAAAGGAGCTAGAGAAAGAAATGGCAAATCACTCCCATACCTTTGCCAAGACCAATCTCAAATGGGGTCATGAAGAATCAGATACGACTAAAAATGACTGAAAAACTAGGCACAGAATCTGTACTTGATGCTGGGTCTTGCATCAGGGAGACCAAAGATGACCTGTCCATCTTTTGGTGATCTTTGAGTTTCCCCTTTCCCTCCCTGGAGAGAGAAACGTCTGAGAATCAGTTAGCATTTTCTACTAAGAGGAAGAAATGAGCAAAGTGGTATGCTTCTGTTATTGTTGAAACATAACTGACTCTTTGTAACCCTATTTGGTCTTTTCTTGGCAA